TCAGCAGCCACACCAGAATTTAATTCTGAGTTCGCTGGTGACATGGATATTCGGATTACGCGCCGTTTGGGACGCAGGCCCCCCGGGGTCGGTCGAGGACGGGCGTGCTGCACAAATGCAAAGAACCCCCGCCCGCCCCCGTTGCGTGCAGGTGGGGGATTAGCAAATGCTCCCCCATCAAGGACTAGCTTCTGCCGCCTGCACACATCCGACCCCGAGTGCCCCAGAGTGTGTCCGTAGCCCCTGCTTCTGGCTCCGTCGAGACGGCCAGGTCACTGCATTTTGGCGCGCCTGGGCACCGGAATGCAGAAAGGAACTAAGGATGCGATATTCTGGGCGCGCGAACGCCCAGGAGCACTAAGTCGCACTCTGGTTGCGAATCTGGGTGCGCATGGGCACCAGAAAGCAAAAGGGGGACTCACAATGCAATTTCGCGCGAACGCCCACGAGCGCTAATGTGCGCTGAGCTTGCAAATCTGGGCACGCCAGCGCAGTAGAACGCAGAAAGGCGTTCAGAATGCCATTTTTGGGCGCGCGAACGCTGAGGAGCGCTTTGCTGCGCTGAGATTGCGAATCTGGGCGCGCCTGCGCTCCAGAACGCAGAAGGGACACAGAGTGCAATTCTGGGCGCGCGGACGCCACAAGCGCTCAGATTGCGAACGTGGGTGCGCCTGGTATCAAAACCCAGAAAGGCGCTCAGGGTGCAATTTTTGGGCGCGCGAACACCCAGGAGCGCTAAGTCACGCTCAGATTGCGAGCCCGGGTGCGCCTGGGCACCAGAACGCAGAGAGGAGCTCAGCATGCAATTCTGGGCGCGCGGATGCCCAGAAGCCCTCAGACTGCGAATATTGGTGCGCCTGGTCACCAGAACGAAGAAAGGAGCTCAGAATGCAATTCTGGGCGCGCGGACGCCCAACAACGCTAAGTCACGCTCAGATTGCAAACCCCGGTGCGCCTGGGTACCAGGCCGCCGAAAGGCTCAGAATGCAATTCTGGGCACGCGGACGCCCTCAGACTGCGAATCTTGGTGCGCCTGGTCACCAGAACGTAGAAAGGAGCTCAGAATGCAATTCTGGGCGCACGGACGCCCAACAACGCTTTGTTACGCTCAGATTGCGAACCCGGGTGCGCCTGGGTACCAGGCCGCCGAAAGGCTCAGAATGCAATTCTGGGCACGCGGACGCCCTCGGACTGCGAATCTTGGTGCGCCTGGCCACCAGAACGCAGAAAGGAGCTCAGAATACAATTCTGGGGGCGCGGGCGCCCAGGAGCGCGAAGTCGCGCGCAGACTGCAAAACTGGGTGCGCCTGGGCACCAGAACGCCCAAAGGAGCACAAAATGCAATTTTTGGGCACGCGGACGCCCACGAGCGCAAAGTCGCGCTCAGACTGCGAATCTGGGTGCGCCTGGGCACCAGAACGCAGAAAGGAAGGAGCATAGAGTGCAATACTGGCATGCGAATGCCACCCGAGTGCACAGTCGCGCTCAGACTGGCCGGCACAGATCTGGGAATGGCAGGCGGCGAGGGCCAGAGAGAGAGCACGGCCCCCACGGGGGCAGCAACGACGCACTCTACATCTCACCACGGGCGGCAAGGACCAGCGAGAGAGTAGCCCTCACGGCGGGGTGCGAGAATGGCGCTCAGCGGCACCAGAAATGAAGACCGCACCCACTGGAAACCGACAAGGAGCCTGCGCCCCGGGACGCCCGGTCCTCTGGCGAAGAGGGCCAGAGAGCGTAGCTCGACAGGCCTGGGTTTGCCGCTCGCGAGGAGGCAGGGAACCTCCACGTCGCACGAGGTAAAGCCCGCGAGAAGGCAGCGACCCCATAGTGGCTTCTGGGTGCCCGCGAGAGGGCTTTGCCCGCGAGAAGGCAGCGAGGTAACCTGCACGCAGCGTGCCACACGGAACCCGGCAGAGCCCGAGTTTGCCCGCGAGAAGGCAGGGACCCTGGGTGTGCCCGCGAGAAGGCAGGGACCCTGGGTTTGCCCGCGAGAAGGCAGGGACCCTGAACTTGCCCGCGAAGGCGGAACCAGAGAATGAGAAACACGGTGGCCTGAGTTTGCCCGCGAAAAAGCAGGGACTCTGGGTATGCCCGCGAGAAGGCAGGGACCCTGGGTTTGCCCGCGAGAAGGCAGGGACCCTGAACTTGCCCGCGAAGGCGGAACCAAAACCGCCGCCAGGCGGCTGCTGCCCGCCCTGCGGGCGCCGTCCCACGCGGAGAGCGCTCGGTCACCAGAGAGCCTGAGAAGGCGGCCCCTGCCGACAAGCTCTCAGGCACGTGCCTGCGAGGGAGCGGGCAGTGCCACAGCGCACCAGGCCGTCGCTCGTGCTTTGGCCTGGCTTGGCCCTGCTCCCCGCAGAGACCGAGAGCGTCTCCTGTGGGGCGACCAGAACGGCTGACCCAAGAGACTAGCACCGAGAATACTTCCGCCTCCGAAAACGCAAGCCGGCCCGCCAGGAACCGCTTGCCCGCGAAGCAGGCGCAGAGGCGTGTGAGCGGGAGCAGAGGAGGTGAGGCGAGCACGCTTGGGCCTGCTCCACATGATTTCCCTGTGCCGGAAACGAGTTCACGCTTCATTTGAATCGGGCGTGTCCCTCCACAGGAGGAAGATTCCAGAATAGTAGAAATAGCCTGGGGGCGATGTTTGGAGTATTCGTGGGCATTTCTTCTAAATTTGGTTTGGCACTTTTTTACTGTTCGTCCAAACTCCGCCTGCAGGAGGACAAGCCCGACCTAAAGCCAGGGGCCGTCTCTTTTCGTCGTCGTCCGTCGTCGTCCGCCTCCCTGGCAGTCTCGGACCTCCCTGGCCCCAGGCCCCGCGCGCCAGCGCTGACGAAAGACCGACCCCCGAGATAGCTCTGGGGCGGCCGAAAAGAGAGAGGCCCCCCTACTCGCCACCGAGTTGGGAGGAGGAGGAGGAGGAGGGAGAGGAGGAGGAGGAGGAGGAGGAGGAGGAGGAGGAGGAGAAGGAGGGAGAGGAGGAGGAAAAAGTATAGTTGTAGAGGAGGAGGAGGAGTCAGGAGGAGTGAGGAAGGGGAAGGAAGAGGAGGGCGCCACCCACGTACGCAATATGAGCGCTTTGGCTCCCGCGTCCCAGAATTGCAACTCTGTGACCCTTCCTGCGTTCTGGAAAGCCAGCGGAGCCCAGAATCGATCAATCTCAGCGCAGCAAAGCGCTCCTCAGCGTTCGCGCGCCCAAAAATGGCATTCTGAACGCCTTTCTGCGTTCTACTGCGCTGGCGTGCCCAGATTCGCAAGCTCAGCGCACATTAGCGCTCGTGGGCGTTCGCGCGAAATTGCATTGTGAGTCCCCCTTTTGCTTTCTGGTGCCCATGCGCACCCAGATTCGCAACCAGAGTGCGACTTAGTGCTCCTGGGCGTTCGCGCGCCCAGAATATCGCATCCTTAGTTCCTTTTCTGCAATTCCGGGTGCCCAGCGCGCCAAAAAGCAAGTTAACCAGTCCGTCCCTCGTACGGAAGCCAGATAGGGGCTACGGACACACTCAAGGGGCCACTCGGGTCGGATGTGTGCAGCGGCAGAAGCTAAGTCCTTGATTGGGGAGCATTTTTGCTAATATCCCCCACTCCAAACACAAACTGGGGGGGGGGCGGGTTTCTTTGCATTTGTGCAGCACGCCCGTCCTCGACCGACCCCGGGGGGCCTGCATCCCAAACGGCGCGTAATCGGAATATCCATGCTGACGCCCGGGCGATCCAGCGAGCTCTGAAGTAAATTCTGGTGCTGCTGAAAAATACAGAGGCTGAATTGCAACTGCCGCTCGCCCCATGGAAAGCAAAGAAAAAAAAAAAAACAAAAAATAAAATAAAAAAAAAAAAAAAAATAAGTCGGCCCAATCGGTTTCGGAACAGCGGGGGGGAAGATTTTCAGCCCCAAAAAATGGGTGCCAAAGAGCGTGGGTTCGAAAAAGCGCCTCAGTAAGCAGTTCCTTGGCTGCGTTTCCTGTTGCCTTAGCTCCGAGGCGAAGCTGACATTCGCGCCGTTGCAATAGCGCGCAGTCTAGCTGCGCGCGCCCTCTAGCGCGTCGCCTTGACGGCGTTGCCCGCCAGGACGGCGCGCCTCACATAAAGGATGGGGTCACCCAGACCACCCACCAGGAAAGAAACCGTTTGGAGACGGATTCGCCTGCTCCGCGGCGACGGACAGCATTCTATCGCGAAGGGCGAGCGTAAGCCCCTTCGCGCCGCGTTCAGGCGGACGCGCTCGCCTCAAAGATGGGCGCTCACTCATCCATCTCATCATTCAAATCTGCTCTGTGTTCTCTGGCGGCGGCGGCGACAAAGTTGAATCGCGTCGGCGGTGCGGTGGCGTCAGGGGAATCCTTTCTCTGACGGCAGCCCAGCACCGTCAAGCTGCAGGGAGCCAGCGCGGCAAGGCAGGTTCTCCACCGGGGCAGCATCGCACGCAGCGCTCGGCAGTCGCGCTTTTGACGCCCTCCGGAGGCCTGGGTGGTGCACTCAGGCTGCGGAGGGGGATAAGCATCGCAATCAGCGCTGGCTACGTTTTGCCCCGCAGTGCAGACCGCGCCTGAGCAGGTTGTCGTCTCTTGTCTCGTGCGTTGTGCCGCACTAGCTCAGACGAGCACGCCTCGCGCAATCTGCCCTCTCACAGCTCAGACCTTGCCCAGCCTCTCACAGGTTGCTGTCGCGTGTTTTGGTGGCGGCAGCAGGCGGCGTCAGAACTGATTTTGCGAAGGGAAATCTTGGTTGAAGGCATCTTTGGAGGAGCTGCCTGCCTGCAGGTCTGAAAAATCGGAAATACGGTTGCTCTCACCATGCCTGAGGCCACCCTTCTCTTTTCTCGTCGGAGGAAAGGCCAGGTATCCACCAGCGGCGGGAGATCCTTCAGCTGTCCACTGTAACCGTGATGGCTCAGACAAGGTGTCTGAATTGCAGATTTGTGTCCTACCACGCAGAGCAATCTGATTCTACGCGTCGTCCGAGGGAAGATGTCTTTCTCTCCGAGTGACGTCGCGGCGATGATCGCTACCGCCGCCAGTGGAGCCTTCAACGGCGCAGGTGCAGATCAGGTGCGTGAGTGGGTGGACTTCGTCATCAATGTCGACGTCGACCCCGCCAAGAAGCACGATCTCTTCCACTACGTGTCTGTCGCGCGGCTGCTGGCCGAGACGGGAGGCAGCATCGCGCCAGCCGACTTCGAAGACCCTCACATGCGGGACATGATCAAGGCGAGCATTCCCGTTCACGCCACCCCGTATGCCACCGAACAGGACGACCCGTGGAAGAGCTGGAAAGTTCGCCGGCACAGATTGTCTTGGCACTCAAGGTGCAGGGGGCGTGCGCGAAGAAAGCCTCGCCAGGACCATCGGTGCCACCAGAGGTGGCCCACAACAACAAAGAGCTTTCGGGCATGGCTGAAGCAGTGAAGCAATTTGCGGAACTTCAGTCGCAGGCGCTGCAGAAAGGGAAGCCGAAAGGACTCAGTTTCAAGTTGCAGGACCGGAAACTCGAGCTGGGCATGCAGCATTTCGCCAAGGATGCACTCCCGTCAGAGGAGGTCCTCGCGAAGTTCGAGGCGGCGGGGAAGATCGCGCACGACAAAGGCAGGCCGTGGGTCGGGTCCGCTGAGGGCGAGGATCTGCGCGATCACCACCGCCCAACTTGGAGCCGGACTCCTATGATCGACGCTGTCGTGGGTCACGGCTCTTATAAGAGGAGCGGGTGAAGCAGAGCGCTGCCGCCAAGCGGAACATGGCGTGGATGGACAAAGTCGACTACGCTGGCTTTGCCACGTTCATGGGCCACCTGCACGAGTGGGGGTTCAAGGTAATCCTCACCAAGGCATGCAGCATGGCTGACTTCCTTGCTTACGCCCACAACATCGTGCGAATCGCCGAGGAACACGGTGGAGTCAGGACAGCTTATCAATACGATGTTCTCCAGAGGAGGGCCATGGCCAGGGCTCTGGAGGAAGACGTCGTAGATTTGGCGCCTTACTTCGCCAAGATCGATCGTGAAAACCTAGCTGACGCAAAAGACAAAGTAAACAAAAGCTTCACGGAGGCTGGCCGGGCTGCGACAGCTAAGGGGCAGCAGTCGAAGGGTCAGCCCAAAGGCTGCGCCAAGGGCGTCGCCGACAAGGGCGGCAAGGGGAGCAAGAAGAGCTCCGACGGCACAGAGGCTGACAACCAGCCTGTCCGGTCGCCGGCCAAGCGCCCCAAGGGCACGGCGGGCACCGATTATCAGCACAGGTCTCGCAGCCCCCGCTCCGGCAATCAGCAGTACAACAGTTGGGGAAACAAGTGGTGGGTGGGCCAAGCACCACTAGTCGAGGGCGCCGGGAGTGATATCTCGGAGGAAGCATCAGACGACACGGAGGCGTCGCCGCTTCCAGGTACCAGTTCGAGGTCAAGTGAGTCAGCAAATTCTCCACTCGAAGCTGTCCAGGCAGCTTTCTCTGCATTTAGCGCCCGCGATGATTTGCATAGCCTGGGTCCGAGCGACCACTTGCGCTGGGCCAGCGGCTTGCCAGAAGCCGACGATAGCCCGCGCGTGCCAACATTTTTAAACGGCTATTTTGTGAGATCGGTTTCAATGTCGGTTGCCGAGCTGCAGACCGCTCGCCAGTCTGCTCTTGCCTTTTGGAAGCATCGGAAGCTAGTGACGGACCCACAGTGGCAGACTATCTTTAGAAGTTTGCCAGCTCACTGTCAGTCAGTGCTGGGTCCGGAGAAGAACCTTCTGCTGCTGAAAGAGATGCTCGAGGCTATATCATGGCCAGATAATACCTTGTTCCACAACCTCTGCCATGGCTTCCCTTTGGTGGGGCGCCTGCCTGCTAGTGGCATCCATGCGCCCGCTGCCACGTCTCCGGAACCAGCCGAGACTTTGCGGTCGCTTTTAGCACATCCGCGCGAGCGGAATGAGGCGACTCTCGGTAGAATCGCCGCGGAAAAGGGCGGCGATACGAGGGTTAGGACTCAATTTTCATCGGCCTGCTCAAAAGAGGTCGAAGATGGCAAGGCCCGCTACCGTAACCTAGACGTAAATTCTTGTGTTTTAACAGCTCGCTTCCCTATCGTGCAGGGGGAGAGAGACGGAATGCCAAAAATTCGCTGCATAGACGATTTCACTGCGTCTGCGGTGAATGGCGCGGTTGTACATAGTGAAAGAACATGTCCAGACACGCTGGACACTTTGGTAGCATTAGTGCGCCACACAGCAGCAGGCAAGCAACACGTTGCCATGAGGTGGAGGAAATATGACTTTCGGCATGCTTTTAAGACACTGCCGATTTGCAGCGGCCACTTGCCGCTAGCAGTGACAGCTTGGCCAGAAGCAATGGCAGACGGTAAGGCGTTACAGTTGCTGTGCCTACCATTTGGCTCTTCCGCATCAGTGTCCGGTTGGGATCGTTTCGGTCTCGCCATTCAAGGCATTTTGGCAGCTCTGTTTCACTTGTTATATTTGCGTTTTGTCGACGATATGTTCGCCGGCGATTCGGCCCTGGAGGGGCGCGATATTGGCAGTGACTGCTTAATCGGCCCCGCCGGCTCTGCGCGCCTGGCAAGAGCAGTCGTGTCAGGACTGCTGGGCTGGGATCTCGACGCCGGCAAAGCCGTCACGGAGGCCACTAAGACCGTAATCCTCGGAGTTTGCGTAGAATTTGACGACCACAACCAGCTGATCCAGTTCTCTCTCGAAGCAGAGAGGTTGGAAAAATGGACCGCAGAAATTCGTGAGGCTCTGCGGCGAAGATCGCTCTCGCCTGCGCGGGCTTTAAAATTAGCAGGCAAATTGAGCTGGGTGCGACCGCCGTCTTCGGCCGAGGCGCGCGCGTCTACCTTGCTGCCATTTACCACCACGGCTCAGGCAACCAGAGCCGGCTGTCCCAGCGCACCAAATTGTGTCTGCGTTGGTGGCTGCGGTTCTTACAGGAACCGCCATCGAGGAGCGTCCCGGTGATACGTCGCCAGAAGAAGCGTTGCATCCTTTACACCGACGCCACAGGCCAGGTACGGATGGCATGGGTCATCCAGACTCCCTGTTTAAAGGCTTGGGCTGCTGCTGATGTCCCAGCAAAGGCGAGGCAGTGGGTGCTTCATCGGAAGAATCAGATCGGCACTTGGGAGCTCATGGCGGCTCTCTGCGCGCTTAAGTTTTTGCTGGGTTATCTGCCTGGCGAGTTTGAAATCCTCGCCTTCGTGGATAACACAAGCGCGCTGGGTGCACTTTTACGCGGCTGTTCCAGGCAATTTGATTGGAACGAGCTCATAGGCGAGCTTTGGTTTGCAGTCGCGCAGCGTGGTCATTATTTGCACCTTTGGCACGTGCCATCGCATTTAAATTTGGCCGACGCTCCGACCCGGCCAGAAGCCAAGTCAGAGCAGCTGCGTAAGTTAGCCGCCGACGGGTTTCAAGAAATGCCGTGGTCCTTCCCAGCCGACGCGCCCTGGTGATTCGGAGACAGTGAGCGGCAAAGGGGAAAAACATCATCGTAATCCTGTGTTGAGGTCATATCACGTGAGAATCGGTTGTCCACGCAGCTACTTGTGCGCACATTCTCTGTGTCTTCTGTTCCGGAGCTCTGGCCCAGCATGGCTTTGAGATTCATCGACAAAAACCGTGCCGCTAAGTACTCGCATTCGCCAGCTGCCAGCGATGAGGTCGCGGAGGTCCGCGTCGAGGTGGAAGCGTCCCCTTTGGCGGCCGTCGTCCGCGGCGTCGCGGCGCAGGCAGAGCCAGGGCGCCACGTCACGGGCTTGATCGTTGCGTTGACAGAATCGGGCTTCAAACACATGTCGGATCTGAGCGACATTGGAGCCGACGACTTCGCAGAGCTCGTGCCGGCATTCGCCGCTTGCAACAGCAGCTTCGTCAAAGCCTTCTTGTCGCACTGCCAGAGCAGCGCCAGTCGCGAGCAGGCAGCTCAAGCGCACAAGCCTGGCGGGCGAACGGAGCCCCAGCGCCCGGCATCTCTGGCAGCGGGCGTCGCTGCGCAGGCGGGCTCCGCCTCGGGCGGCGCCGGCGCTGGCTACGCTGGCGACCAGACGCCCACTGCGAAGCGATTGGACGCCCCCGACGAGGAGAAGGCCCGCGCTGCTTTTCTAGTGCTTGGAGAGGCGCGGCGGGCGCGGGCCGCTCCTGCGCCTGCAGTGCTTGCAGCCGCCGTGGCAGCTGCTGCCAATTGCAGCTGCTATCCGGGAGCGGAGCCCACTGGCAGGCCACGGGACGAGATCAAGCGGGCTCGTCGCGAAGCCAGCGGCGGCGACCATCTGAGCTTGCACACCTTGTGGGTGGAAGTTGCCAGCTGGAGGAAAAGCGCCTCCCAGTATGCTTCCGCAGTGCGCCTGTGGGGCGACGCTGCCACTGCTGTCGGGGCGCCTGGGTGGCCACCAACAGAACTGATCCTTGACACTTTCGTGGGTTTGTTTCGCAACGGCCACACCTTGCAAAGATACGTGTCGCACGTGCGCAGTGTATTGCACATGGTGCAGGCTCCGCTGGGCGCCCTCGCAGATACGCATAGATTGTCGAGAGGCGCCGAAAAGATAACGAAGCATGAATTCAGAAGAGAGAAAATCTTCTCACTGCCTCCGTTGGGGCGGGCGCGCCTGCATTGGGGCAGCGGAAAAGACGCTGCCGGCGTGACGGGCGAGCAAGCCCCCAAGCGAGGCTGCCCGACACGCCGAACCCACACCCCAACCAGACACCGCTGCCTGCGCGGCCAGCAGCGAACCACACCCACCAGACCAGGGAGGGCGGGAGGGCAAAAGCGGCAGCATCAAAGCCGCCGGGGCCCAGAGCCCCAGCCCGGCAGAGAGCCGCGGCACACCCCGCAGGGACAGACGAGGCACGCGCACTGGACAGACCAAGTCAGTGAGGAGCGCGCCTGCGTAGCCACGGCGAACGTGGCGACGAGGACGCCGGGAACTTGCTACCCCGCCCCCGCGCCGGGCGGCAAACCACAGAGCCCCGACGACACGCGCCAACGCCGCCGCTCCTACTGGAGCCAACCAGGCCATGAGGAAACCATGAAACTCCCCAAACGGACCAAACGACCAACCGTGGGAAACTACGGCCGAAACGCCGATTTTCCCCCCCACGAAAGAACCTTCAGGGGGTAAGAAAATCTTCTCACTGCCTCCGTTGGGGTGGGCGCGCCTGCATTGGGACAGCGGAGAAGACGCTGCCGGCGTGACGGGCGAGCAAGCCCCCAAGCGAGGCTGCCCATTGTTGAGGCTCGACTCGCCCGTCACTCCGGACCCCAATGTCGGCGGCCCGAGCCTTCACACACGCGCCCGTTGGAAAAGCGCTGGCCTCGACGCGGCAGAATCATTCTATTTCCTTTCAACAGTCCACGACGCCGCTGTCTGACGAATCCGAAAAATCAGCGGCCCACTTTGCAGCCACGACTTCCCCTTTCGTCTGCGCTGATGCGTAGCCAAACGCGGCTAATCCGCGCCAGCCACCTGAGTGAAACAACGCGGGCACACCGCCCTGCCGTAGAGCATCGTTGGCCCACCCTCGGCGGAAGCAGAGGGTTCCCCATTCTGCTCCGCGCGGGAAGCCGAGCGCCAACGCTGAGGTTTTGAGGGCTGCTAAGGCATTCTCGTAACGCAACGTTGGGAAGCACGGCCTGCCCTCACTGCGTCTGCGCAGGACGCACACCCCACACAATGCTGGACCACACGCTCGGCACACGCACTGCCTCACCACATGAACTGCTCTGTCCTGCATTTTCCGCTTGTGGAATATTATCGTGACCTCTGGCGTGCCTCCGCGCGCACGGCACACTATCTCAGAATGCAATGCAGACGTCCCGAGCTTCAACACTTCACACCCGTAGCGCAACGTGAAATGTCTGGCCACCACCCAGCTGTCGGCCAGTTCCGCGTCATGCAGCACGTCCCGAGCGTACTCAGCAAGCTCCTGCACCTGCTTCGCCGACACGCTGGCCTTGAAACGAGGCACCGCACCGTGGCTTTTCATGGCGCCCCTGACGAGGGCACTCGTGTCAGCAAGAGCCCCCAGAGGCGTCTGTAGAAGCCGCAACGTAGACCGCAGGTGGGAGCAATACCGGGAAAGCGTGGAAGCGCGCGGCACGGCGAACGCCAGCGCTGCCAGCACTACCTGGTCAGGCGGCCACTCTGGCACCTCCGTCGCCGCCGCGAGTTTGCCCCACAAGCGGATGGCGGAAGCATACCCCGCCCCACTCTGTCTCCAGTTTTCCAATTCCTGAAGCAACAACTGGTTCCGTAGAATGGGCGCGCGTGTCTCCGCAGGGACTTGCGCCAACCAAGTTGCACGACTTGATGGAAGAGCCAACTCCGCAGCGACGGGCGGCAACAGAGGACCATCCACTCTGCATACAACAGAAATGGCCCGAGCAAGAGCCTCTGCTGGCGGCGCCATT